TATTTTCCTATTTCCTCGATAGCTGCGCTCCATAAAGCCTCATCATTGAAGACGCATGCGCGTGTAACAGAGCTTACATATACAGGGTGGTCCACGCAATTGTTACGAGTCATAACTCCGTTATTATTGCATTTCCGGGAAAAATGCCAAAGGAGAAAGATAAATGGTTCGAAGAGCACTACATCTGTAGGCCTTTAAATTTTTTTTAGATGCAGCAGTGCATGCGCAATCAACAATTGCATCGTTTCTTTAAATAGAAATGCATATTTTTTTTTACACAGATCGATTCTTTTGTTCATTCTGCGTAAAAAATGTTTAGGGTACCACGGTCGAAAAATTATTAGTTCTCGAGATATTTTCAAAAAATGTCTTCATCGAAGAAGATATAAGAAATACTTAAAGTGAGATACGAATTATTGTACAGGGTGTCCCGTAAATAGTGTAAGAACCGGAAATGGGGGGTAGGTGAGACGATTCCGAACAACAATTTCCTTTGCAAAAATGTCGGATGAGGCTTCGTTTTTGAATTATTAACGAAAAACACTGGCTTAGGGGTTGGGACAGCCCTCTGCGTAGCTTCCGTTTCATTAATTCTATTAATAAAAATGTGAATTTGCATAAAGATCTCTAGTAATTAGTACGCGCAATTTGAATTAAAGAAAGTGTGCTTTTAAATATATTTAATTAATATAGTTTTAGAGGGGGTGCAATAAGATAGTACTGACCTTTGGGGACAAGCTCCGATCGTTTAGATTAATATTTTTGCAGTGGGTGTAATTAATAACGCGACATAGGGGGAGGCGTTACGAACGTTCAACGATGCATCAAACAGCTAATCGTACGAATTCATTTGCCCCATTGCTGTTGGAATCGATCGAGATCCGGAAGCAGACTGAAATTTTTAACAGTTCCGCCTTGAAAAGGGAATCGAGATCGAAGGGAGGAGCAGCCCTTCGGTTGGAAAGCTCGTCTCGAGAGTCTCGGGGACGTCTTAAGCCAGTTACTCGAGGATTCCCCCCGCGGCTCTTTGAAGTTTCGAGAAGGGACGGCGGTTTTCTGGGGGTGTATTCTAATTTCGCGAGCGGGTCGCGATGGAATTGACCGCGTCGGGGGCTGGTGGCCCGTTTCGAGGGCAGTCAATTGTCGCCCCGTCGGAGGATCAGCCGCGAAAGCGGCTTAACAGATGGAAAATGAAATTTAATTAACCGAAAACAACGAGAAATTATCGAACATTACGCGGTGCTTGCTCTTTCCAGAGGAATCTAGATGTTTGAAAAATTTTGCCGCGATTCGACGTGAAATGGCTCGCGCGGAATCGTAGATGGAGGGTGGAAAAGACATGGCAGGAAGAGGAGGCCCGGAGGGAGGGCCCGAGGGGTAGGCCGGAGCGAAATCGACGAGGGGTTGGTCGGTACGCGCAGGTTCGCCGATACAAAAGGGGGGAACCCCGGAGATTACGATCTTTCATTCGTTCGCTCGTTCCAATTATTTTGTCCAATTAAAATATCGATTTTCTCCCCCATCGCGAGTACGCTTTTGCCGTGTCGCTGAACCCTCCCTCGTCTGACTCCCCACCAGCGATCCCTCCCGACAGACACCCCCCCCTGGACAGAGGCGAACGCAGACTTTTCGAGGCCCCGGGTCTCGAACGCTTCAAATGGATTAACGTTACTTTTTAACTGTTCCTCGATCCCCTTTGAAGCTGCGCAAAATTGGAGGAATAATTAGTTTAAACGTGTCCTTAGAGAAATCGTAGCTAAAAGATCGATCGAGGCCTCGTGTGTTTCAACTCCGGCGGACGCGTCGTTTCAGTTTCGATATTCAATTATTGGGCCTCGCGAAAACCAGGAAACGAATATGGACGTTGTGTTTTCGTTTAAATCGAACCAACAGGGGAACCAATCGAGGAGAAACGAGGGATCGTAAAGCGTAATTTACGAATCCGCGGCCGCGATTCGATTATGGCTGTCACGGGCAATCGCCTGCTGGTCGTTTTTCAATTCCAGTATGCTTTATGGTAGGATACAGTGTACAGGGGTTTCTTAAAAATATTTCCCCGCGGATGCAACGAGCGTTTGTTATTCGGTGTTAATCACGTGGGTGGAAGATGGCGGATCGATCGCGAGCGGTTTACGAGGAACACGAACGCCCCCCCTCCCTCCCCCCCCGAGGGGCGCTGAAAACTTCCTTTTTTACGGGAAGAAATTATCCCTCTAAACGGCTATTAGAAACGTCCGGCGCGTGGATCTTCTCTGAGAATAGACGATCTAATTTCGTGAACGAGAGGAAGCGAGGAACACCGAGAGCACCGACGGGGAGGGGGGGTGGAATGGGGGAGAAGCTGGAGACGGACCACCGTGATTGCAATTTTAACGCCAATTTGACTTGAATCTCTCCTGGACGAAAGAAATAGTGTTTTCATGCTCAATATAGCGCCCCGCTAATAATTAACAGCCACGACGTGGCACTTTGTCGTCCCCGTGTACAGGGTGTCCCGGGCGGAACGAATCCGTAACATCCTGAAAATTTCACCCTCGATTCATAAACAACGTATCAACAAAGCACTAAATCATTGTAAATCACTGTCTTCATTTAAACTCTCGCGTCTAGAGGCTCTTCGAAGGGGGTTGCATTTGTCCACGTTTGACAGTGTTTGAAAAACATTCGAATTGTGTGTTTTTGTCCGGGGGGGGGGAAATTGGAAATGCAAAGCTCGTGCGAAGCGAAACCCGGTGACACACCGAGTACGTGTACCGAGTAGGTCTTGCGGAGCTAGCGGGTGGTCCTCATTATGTCTGCTTCCCCACCGCCCGGCCGTCCTATCTATTTAACGTATCGTTTGCCTTGGTAACCATCCAAATTGGCCCATCCCTCTCTATGCTCTGCCAGCCACATCTCCCGATCTCGCTCGTGTTCTCCTTAATTATTGGGAACCCCGATGTTTAATAACGTCAGCTCTCTTTCACCGCGCGGTACGGTTCCGGGCGCGCGACCTTTAATAGAAAACACTCGTTTCCTGCGCCCATGGATGCTAGTCTCATTTATAGAAATGATTAGCGATGGGATCGGGTTCGAGGCGCGGCGAACGCAGTCTAAATTAATCCGACGCTACCGCGACGTTTCGCTGGAATCAAACGATACTCGTTAGGCACGATATTACGTTTGATGGGATCAGGAACGGCTCGCTTGTTATTTAAATCGTCAAAGACCCTCTCCAGGTAGTTACGTGACATTTTAAATACTCCATTAAAGAAAATTGATCGCGGAAAGCAATTCGCGAGCCAATGGCCCGTAAAGCCTAATGCCTACCGCCCTTTGGGTAATGAAAAGATAGCAAAGTGCTTTGTTATAACCTCTTTACGAGCCCCTTTATCGCCATTCCGATATTCCTCCAGCGGATCGACCAACACTGTGACATCGCGTGCACCTGGTGAATCGTTAAATCAACCGATTTTCGATCCTCCTTGGACAGCTCGAAGAAAAATTCAATAAGCTATTACAGAGCGAACCGATTTCCCGGTATAGAGCGATCCGTCCCCCGGGGCGAAACTATGTACAATTACCGTTTTCATCTGCAGTTTCTGGCGCCATAAATTTCCGCGGGTTTACATCGAGCACCGACAAAGAGGGAACGCGCGGGGTTCGCGCGATGAAATTTATCGCTCGAGTCGATTCCGCGCAAATGGAAGGAACGTCTATGAGGTTTTATTCCGCGGCGTTATCGACAGCCTCGATCGGGGGCCCCCTGGCTTTGCTTTCGGTAACACGATTAATTGCCATCCGTGACGTCGCGAAAATCCCGACGCAACGTTTCTCGAAATTTGTAGAATTTTTCTGGCCTCTGGGCGAAGCGTGGCGAAGATACTTTAAGCGACTAATTTAAATGCACGGTGCCGCGTGTACTTTGAGCGTTCGGGGGGAGGGCAACATGGAAACGAACGGGGAACGGTTTCCATCGATTCCAGGGAAGATATCGATCCCCTTTGCAGTGCGGATGAGGTGGCAGCGCGAGACGGCGGAAGTTCGCGCGATGAAATTTACGGCTGAAGCCAATTCCGCGCAAATGGTAGAGCATCTATGAGGTTTTATTCGGACCGCTTATCGTACGCCCCTATCGGCAGGCATTTGTTTTTGCTTATCGTTTGAAAGGTACGTCACGTGGACCACCGTAAATATGACGGACGGATGCGACGATGGGATCTTCAGCGCCGTCAGAACAAACGAGCTACCCGCGGACGTGGCACGAAAATCTCGACGGCTCGATTTAGGGGGATGAACGACAGAGAGCCTCAGCGAATCGATACACCTGACTGCGCGAACCGACCAAATTCACGGAGAAAAACTCATCCCTTTTTAATCGCCTCCTCTCATCCAACCCCCGCGCACCCTCTCGATACCCGACTCAGCTTTCGATTCGTAGAAAATTTCACGAGTCTCGAATTTTTTGGGTCTTAATCGGCCGGCCCTAATTGGTCAATTACGCTCATTACCGTCTCCGTTGTAGAGAAACGAGTCGAACGATAAAATCTCTCGTCTCCCTCTCGCTCTTGCGTAGCTGCCACCACCCCCCACCAGGGTGTTCGCCGCGGTAATCCCTGCCCTCCGTGCCTCCCCTGGAACAGCAGGGTCGTGTTCGCGTTCGCGAGAGAGAAACTTATCCCTGACGGGAAAAATCAGCGGGTCTATAGCCGGTTTCGACGTGGAGTAACCCAGCGAAATAGGCGGAGCAACACACGAGCCATGCCCCTTCTGCCTCCCGGAGGCCTCGCCCCCTTTTGGATTTCCCTTTCTCGCACTTTCTACCCCCTCCCCCCGGCGATACGTTCGTCTCTTTTCGACCAACGTGCCCCCGTGGCGCCCCTCTGTCCCCACTTGCACGGCGGCGTCGACAGCAAAACGAAAAACTACCGAGCGCCGCGGCCAGCGATGTTCAAACTCAGTCCACACGGAGAGCTCGAGTCGAGTAGAGCCTTTCAGTCCAGGTCAGCTGGTCCCAAGATCCTCATCGACACCTGTCAAACGCGTCGACCGTGACCGTTCGCGCGATCAATCGTTTTTTTTCCCCCCCCTTCCCCCACCTCCCCCCCCTCGATCAGTGCGAACGCGGACGCTCCTTATCAGTGAGAGGATTTTCCATCTATGAGACGCTAGGAGATCCAAGACTCCGGGACAGAGTGACTTAGTGAAGAGTAACGCGTGTCGAATCGCGGTCCGAGAATGACAGTAATAAGGATGACCTCCCCGGTGACGCCTCCATCGACCAGTCCAGGCTCGAACGAGGCTCAGGCGCCCCAGGCGACCACGAAGCCGGTGCACCGGTTGAGTTTCTCCGTCGCTGCGCTGCTGGCCGACACCAAGAAGCCCTACGCCAGGCAGGAGACGTCCTCCGTGTCGCCTCGATCATCACCCATCGCCACCTACTCGCCAGTAGCCGCGAATTCCACGCTGCAAAGGTACCCGACCGACTACAGAACAAGGTATCTCTCGTTATCGCCGAACGTGCACGATCTCAGGACGAGCCAGTACGCGTCCTGCGAGTCCTCGCGAAGCGCCATCGACGCCAGAATATTCACCAGGTTCACAGAGTCCGAACTGGACAGGATAGAGTCGCCGGGCAGGCGATCCGCGTCCAGGATCCTCGACTACGTCGTCCAAACGTCAACAGACTCCGCGTCGACGTCGGACGTGGCTTGCTCCGCGTCCCCCAAAGCCTCCACTCTCGGTCAGACGGAGTTTGGCTCACAGTCGCCGAGGAGCAGCTCGCACGAGGCTCGGTCCAGGTGCTCGGAGACGGAGGACATCGAGGAGGAGGACGAGAACAGTCTGGTGGACGTGGAGGACCTGCAGCACCAGCATGGGAGCAGCCCGACGCCGGTCAGACCGACGCCAGCGTACATAGCCGGATTTTCAAGCCTGGGTAGCATCTCCGGGATCCCGGCCAGCCTTCATCCGGCGGTTTGGGGAGGCGGTCATCAGGGTGCAGCCGCGGCCGCAGCCGCCGCCGCCGCCGCCGCCACGGCAAGCTTCTTCCCCTCGCATTTCTCTCATCACGCGCCTCTAAACGGTGAGTACTTTGCTCTCTGGTCTCGTTTGCCTCGTTTTACACCTCTGCTATTTGCCATTTGCCGGGTCGACGACAGCCGCGTTCGGGTGTTCGTCTTTGAGCCCGGCTGCTCTGGCTGCCCGCCAATCGACCCGCGATCCACCTCGCCCGTGGGATTCTTTTCGAAACTGGTCCGATTGTAAACTCGTTAAGACGCGTTTCGTTCAATGAAGCCGACGGCTACGACATTCCTCGCCGTTCTCGTCCTCCGGGGGGATATTTCTGGCGTAACATTGACCGGTCAACGGAACCCTGACGAGCCTCCGATCCTCCAGGCATTTCCGTTACAAGATGGTACCAGCGAACGGTATTTTTAAGCATATATTCGCAAGCAAAAGGAAGACCAAGGTACACCCGGTGTCGCGCTAATTGATAAATTGAGACGCTCCATCGACGCGACGTCTCGGTTATTTGCAATTCAATCGCGCTGAACCTACTCACCTAAAAATCACCGGGAAAGGAATGCAGTTCTCGGAACGCGCCGGATGACTCGTCGCGATTGAATCATCGTTAACACTAATTATTGAGGTCGCGGCTTGATAATTGCCAGAGGCTCTCGTTAAAGAGGCAATCAAAGTTTTCTCGCTTCGTCGCAGAGGGCCGGTTCTTGCCGGAGAACATCGAGGATTCCACGCGGCAAGAACAATGGCCGATTATTGCAAAAAGGTGTTGTAATTGCAAATCGAACCGTTCGTGATGGACAATCGATTATGACGACTGTTGCTGTCTCGTTTACATAAATAATTCTTTTCGAAATTCATTCCCCCCCTCTCAAATTCTCTGCTCTTTTGGTAGAAACTGTAAACAGTGGGTGGGCAGCACTGTGAGAGGTGGAGGAACCTTGCAATTTCTCCTGATTCAGAGTATAGTTCTTGCTTTTTAAGTATACAAATTAGGAATTAGGCCTAATAGGTCCTCTGTCTCTCAGATTGTTCAGTGTTCATTCGTATTGTTAGATTAAAAAGCTTGTTGGGGTTTTTTTATTGATTGTAAGGAACCGTGATGGCTGGCGTCGCCTTTTACCGCAATCCCCGTGTGCTCTTTTGGTAGAAACTGTAAACAATGGTGGCAGCACTGTGAGAGGGAACCTTGCAATTTCTCCTGATTCAGAGTATAGTTCTTGCTTTTTAAGTATACAAATTAGGGATTAGGCCTAATAGGTCCTCTGTCTCTCAGATTGTCCAGTGTTCATTCGTATTGTTAGTTTAAAAAGCTTGTTGGGGTTTTTTTTATTGATCGTAAGGAATCGTGATGGCCGACGTCGCGTTTTACCGCGATCCCCGTATCCCCGTATCAATTTATAGATCATTGTTGCGCGATTGTGCCGCAATTTAGGGAGCTCCGCAAGCGGAACACAATCGACCATAATCGCTTAGCGGGGAAACAGGCTGGGAGCGGACGAGTCGTGTAGGGGGGAAAACAAGCGTAATTTTGAAATATGGTCTCTCGTGGAGGGTGCTCCCGCAGATTGCGTAACCCTTCAAACTTTACCCCGCTGTACTCCAAACCTCGACTAGTTCTCGAATAGGGAGAGGGATGAAACCTACCAACGATATTTACGTACTCCAACTAAATCTCAGGCAACATTTATCGAATTCGTTCGTCTTTGCAAGAGCAAATAAGACTGTGAGAAATCGTGGCCAAAGAATTATTATCAGCTAATTATTTCAGCAATTTGCATGGGAATAAAGGGTACATTTCACATAAATCAGACCGTGTTTAATAAAATTCTCTTTCGAGTCTAAAATTTTGTTTAATTCAGCGTACGATTATATCGATCGAGAGGAACGGGAGCACGATCGGATCCGGTTGCTAAACTCGATCGTTACGCAACGGTCTGGCCATTTTGTTGATCCTCCCCCGCGTCGGATGATCCGCAGTTTCGCGGAACGGCGCGTATCTCCGCGGGATCAGCTAATTATTTCGAATGCGCGTTCCCGATCGTCGGGTCGGATTAAAATCGATGCATCGTTTTCGGCGACGATCGTCCGTGAAAGAAAGACGGAGACGGGGAGAGAGAGAGAGAGATCCTCGAATACCGAGACTAATTGGGACCTTCGAGGCAGAGAGAGAACACAAAGGACGATTCTCCACCGTCGGGGAGAGGCTGTCTCGGAATCGCGGATCTCCAAAGCAGGAAGAAAGCGATTCCAACGGGGGAGGAGGAGGAGGAGGAGGAGGAGCAGTAGTCTCGGTGAAAATTTGAAATTCAGAAGCGACGATCCGGCCTTTTGTCTCGTCTCGAGATCTCTCGTTTCTAGAGCCGTTCACCTCCGCTCTACAAATCTGTCAATTGTCTCGAGACAAATCTCGGGGAATATAACCGATATATTCCGACGCTACTCTCTCTCTCTCTCACGATGTTCCGTTTCCTCGTGGTCGATTGTTTCGGGGCTTGTTGACACAGAGCGTGGGATCCTCGGGGGATGATGTTCGCAATTAGCGTATTTCGATTAAAAACGGCTGGGGCCAGGAAATCGTTTGCAACAGAAAGGTCATCATCCGTGCACCTTTCGCTCGGGACGATATATTCCCCGCTAATGAATACAAGCGCGGATCTTGCGGTCGGCAGCGGAAAAAGGTAATGAGGCCAGTTTGCGGCGCGGTTACGACGGGCAAAAATTCTGAATCGATCCCCTGAAAAGACGCAGATCCTCTCGATCGATCCGGCGACTGGCAAAAAATACAGGACGCCTGCGGTCGGTTCCGGCGCGTCAACCGAGCACGCTTTCGGTTACAGAGAACGGCGAGCCGGCCAAGATCAAGTGCAACCTGAGGAAACACAAGCCGAACCGGAAGCCCAGGACGCCTTTCACCACGCAACAATTGCTGGCGCTCGAGAAGAAGTTCACGGAAAGGCAATACCTCAGCGTGGCGGAGCGAGCCGAGTTCTCGTCCTCCCTGCACCTCACCGAGACCCAGGTGAGCCCCTCGCGAACCAACAAAGCGACTCCGAGCTTAGAACGCGCAACGCCTCGTTTCGAACGCAATCTACGGAATTACTGTTTTTACGATCGACGTTTCTCGTTTAGCACCTCGCGTTAACTCTCTTCTTTATCCACGCCGAGTCGAGGGCACCGCCAGATGATGGGTGTAATTAGCGTGCAAGGAACACGGTAATCTTATTAATAGACTAGAAATTTGCGATCGCCTACCAATTGTCTCTCGGCCGGGTAATTTTGGCAAATTCGCGAACCGTTATATTTCGGGCGAACGTATCTGTTTCCCATTCGTCGAGCAGATTTAAATCGTAGCATCGATTAGAAACCGGCAAGAAACGCGAAACTGTTGATGGTTGCAGGTGAAGATCTGGTTTCAAAACCGTCGGGCAAAGGCGAAGCGCATGCAGGAAGCGGAGATTGAGAAATTGAGGATGTCAGCGGTCAGGCAACATCACACGGCGCTGTACGGTTCTCATCCGGGACTGCTGGCCACGGCGAGCCTCTACCCGGTCGGAATGCTGTCTCATCCCGGTTTAACGCCGCATCATTCGATCTCTCAGCACCCGTCCAGGGAATGAAAACGACCGGGGGACCCGGAGACTCGGTAGTGAACCGACCTGACCCACCTCCAAAGAGCCTATTCCGACGGACTCCTCGGGAAATGGATGGAACGAAAGGTAAAACCGAGAAACGGATACGGATCGACGTCGAATCGAAACCGGGACCTCGTTCGCCATCCGTACGAAATCACGGATACGAGCGGAGCAAAGCTGGGACGAGGGTAATGGAAACTCGAAGATGCGGAATCTGTGCCAATCTCGGGCACGCGTGATCGACGCGTGTCCTGTACATAGTGTGTAAATAATCGTCGTTCTCGAACACAAAGAATGGGTATAGTTTCTACGCTCGAGAATTCACGGGACCCGTGGACGGAAGCCATCGGGCCATTTTCCAATTTTGTATAAATATAAAACCGTCGTCGAGAGAAGTTAGAAGCCGTTTATTTAATAAATCGTAATATCGAAGATGACGCCTGTTGATTCTCACTGCCAACACACCCGACTTCCCCGTTCGAAGGCCATTAAAATCTCGCTGCTACGTGAGATTTATAGGTAAACATAAATTTTATACTTCTCGCTATTTATTATTCCCAATTGAATCTAAATGGACACGAGCGGACAACTTCTCGCGTAATTTAAGCGCGTATAAGTCATATTAATTAGCGCGGGACGATTCCGCTAATTGAAAAGCCCTCGATGTTGATTCACAGGCCGTTTCCGCGTGCGCGATTAGAAAGTTGAAATAAATTATACCCCCCGCGGCAATTAGACGTGTCGACGATCCCCGTAGCTCCGATAACCGATCAATCGATGGCCAATAATAAAATCGTCGGGTTTCGGAATCGTTAGCGAATTTCTCGATCAATCTTTGCTCAAAGTCGATTCGTTAACTCCCATTTCAGCCTCCAACGATGACGCAACTCGAGAGGGGAACTTTCATCAACGACTGATCAACAATGTGATTCTTAATTCGCACCTTTGGTAAGGCCCTGATCGTAGGTATCACGATCGTGTCTATGTTTACGTAACCTTTTTGCGTTGGAGTACAACAAGCAGTCTATGTTACAGGGTAAAGGGTACAAAAGGAACTGGATGGGGGTGAACATCCCTCCCCCCCCCCAGTTCGTTTCGTTGCTGCAGCGATTACGTCGCGACGATTACGCGGTAGCCGAGAATGGCGTCTCTGTGCGTACATGTCGCGGGAATAAATTAGCCGTGGCAATTAGTTTCGGAATCGACCCGCCCCGGGCGGCCGGCGCCACCATCTTGATTGCACCCGTGGAGAACCTTTAAAGACAGTAGCCAGCACTGTTTGCCGAAAGGCTCGAGCGCCGTTCGCGCGGCCTAATTAGCGATGCCCACCGAGATATCGCCGACGTACGCTAATAATACCGAGCATAAATATTCCAAATTTTTTCGTCTGCTGGCCCCGTCCGTTTCCTCCGCGTCCACATCCGTCTGCCATCTTCGATTCCTCATTCTTGCCACCTTATCCCAGGACTCTCCTATCGATTTATCGAATTAATCGTCCGCGTCGGAGGACGTTTTAATTCCCCCCGTTTGACAGTGAAAATGATCAATAATCGAATATGATTTTTAATTAAATATTATAAATTGACAATATCTTGAAATGGTGTACAATAAAATTCTTATGAAACAGTCTGATATGGTTTAAAAATACTATTTAATAATAGGGAAATTTTCATATATCCGGTGAAAATTATCAATAATCGAATATGATTTTTAATTAAATATTCTAAATTGACTGTAGCTATATCTTGAAATGGTATGCAATAAAATTCTTATGAAACAGTCTGATATTGTTTAAAAATTCTATTTAATAATAGGGAAATTTTCATATATCCGGTGAAAATTAACAATAATCGAATATGATTTTTAATTAAATATTATAAATTGACTGTATATCTTGAAATGATATACAATAAATTTCTAACAATACCGAGCACAAGTATTCCAAATTTTTTCTGTCCGGGGGCCCCCCGTCCGTTTCGTTCGCGTCCACATCCGTCTGCCATCTTCGATTCCTCATTCTTGCCACCTTATCCCAGGACTCTCTACGCCGATATCGGTTTATCGAATTAATCGTCCGCGTCGGTGGACGTTTTAATTCCCCCGTTTGACGTACGAGGAACACGAGCGCTGGTATCGCGTCTGGTTTATCGAAATTACCGTGGTCCCTCTGGTCCCAGTCATCCCCGGCTTTCCGCTCGGTACTTTCCGCTTGAATTTTAATCGCGTAATTAGCCGTCGGTCGCTAGAGATTGCCCGGTTACCTGTTTTGCTCGCCGTTTCATGTAAACAGATAACATCGATCAGATGATATCGCCTAAGCTACCGGTCCGCTTGTTAGGCCTAACTGCGACCCTCGGCCGCGCATCATCCGTTCACCTTAATGCAGCATTATCTACCACGTGAACCAACCGGGAAAAAATCGACCTACACGATCGATCGATAAGGAAATTCCCCCCACCTCCCCCTTCCTGGGGAATTTAGTCCGTTTCCGTCGTTACAGGTGCTCGCCAAACGACGCCCGGACTAATTAGCCCCAGGGTCCTCCCACGATTTTTCTGACCCGTTCGGTGCAAGCTGGTTGCAAATCAATAGTTTTTGAGATTCCAGCAAAGATCAGTGTTCCTCCGTAGATAACGTAACGATTGGCTGAATTTAAATGGCGCAATTAGCCGATGGGAGGACCCCGCGATCGCGGTATCGGCTAGCAGGCAGCTTGTTAGCCCTAACGACGAACAGCTACGCCCGGTTCCACTCGTTCGTTTCACGCGCTACGAGAAGTTTCCACGAGATTATTCCCCGGTGGCAGATAGCGGCGCCGTTGGAATCGCCATCGTCCATCTGGGGGGGGGGACCATGGACCACGTAAAACGCGCGCTATCTGCTCCGAATATCTCGCGCTTGGAAAATCGGTGGCGTTTCCACGGTCAGCTTAATAAGCGAAAGGAGACGAAATTTATCGCGATACAGGTCACCGGGGACATTCCGGGAATCCGACGGTTACTCGATAGCGCTCGAGATGGGAATAATTACGTAATTAACAGAGGAGAACTCGTTAATTCCGTCTCTGACGACAGACCCCCTTGTTCCGAGCTCCGATAAGGTGATTTACCGCGAATCTGCCCGCGGATCTCCGGCTCTCGTGCAATTAATTCCCGATATCTTGGCCAGAGCGAGCACGCGACGATGAGCTAATTGGCAGATTCCGTGGAAAAGCCTAGAATGTTACCCCGGTTACAACGAAAAACCGACGCGATTACGTTTGCCAGCGGTTTTGCTACAAATTAATAACCTTGCAAAAAAATTTCCCCGATAACGGAGTATCGATATATTAATCCCAGTAAATTTCACAACGTTCGTTCTCGCGAAATGTGTTGCAAAAACAAACATCTCGAGTTCCGCCGCTAATTTATCGGCACACTAACCTCGTTAAAGAGTCTTCGTTAACGTGTATCGACAGTCGATTGCGTAACCCCCCCCTCCTCCCTCGCAATTGTAGATCGCCATAATTGGTCCGGTCGATCGACGCGTAAAAGTTAATTTCCCTCGAGCAGTCCCGGCTGTATTTCGCGGTGTTGCGCAACCGGAGATCGCTAATCGTTATTAATTAACGGGGCCACGGGAGAAGAAAGCACCGAAGGTGACGGAGACGGGGCGAGAATTAATTATCATTTTAATAGAATTGAAATAAAATTTCTCTTACACGCGGATTTTACTGATCCGTTGCGCAACGCGTGTTATTATGTCGCCGTATGGCAGCTGACGTTGGCGATATCAATTCGAGCTCATTTGCCGGGTCGCTCGCTAATTATTCGCTTACGTTAATTATGGTGTAAACAATTTCTGATCCGCGATTACGAAACGATCTACGAACGATCAGCGTTCCGTTTCTCAGGGACGTAAAATAGATTCCGCGGCGCTTTAAACAAGACGAGCTTAGAGCGGGTTGGACAAAGATGGCCACGCGTTACATTTTGCTGTCGCTATTTTGCTCGACCCTTCTCGACGTTTCTTATCGAATTATTGCGAAAAAGTCTGGGACACGCGACAATGCAATTAGCAGACGATCGGGAGAGTCTGGGAATCGTGGACAAAAAAATGACGAATCGCGGGGCACGCTCGCGGAGGACGTAATTTATCAGTCGCGGACGATTTAATCGCGAGCCCCTGAATTAACGTTAACGCTCGACACGGCATCCGAATCGATCTCCGTGTTAATTAATATTCGTGGAACGAGAGAGTGTTGGAGAAAAAGAGGAACGATGGGGGGGGGGGGGCAGAGGAAAGGGGATCGTGGAGGAAAGAAGGCGAGAGCGGACGAATCGGTGTTAGTTAATCCTAAACCGGTTATAAACGCGTTGGTCATCGTGATATCGTTGACTTACTAATTGGATGGATAAAAGACAAATATATTTGGCCGGCGGTGGAGAGAGAGCGAGAGAGTTAATCGTCGGACCGAGGGTATCGTGAAAATCGTTTCTGCCTTAAATGGTACTGCTCGGAGCACGCTCCCGTTGAAAATCTAATTACCAGATGTAAATAAGCTTCTCGCAACATAATTAAGACCGAGGTTAAACGTCATCGTGAGAATGCTGAAAGTTCGAAGAACACCGACAGTGAAATATCAATTCGGAGCGCGGTGAAAGGTATGGGAATTTTATTTTCATCTAGGTTTCAAGGGAAGTTGGTCGATTAATGAAAACTCGTTTATCTCTTTTGAAGCCTCGATAGTAATTCTGGACCAGGACCAACTTCGTCTCCGTTTATTTATAAGCACAGAGGTACATTTGTTCTTCGATACAGAGCCCCGATATGATCTCGCGTCCCCCCGTGGAATTATCGAGCCAGTTTCACAGAGTTTCGGTCCATTGCAGCTCCGAGATAACGTTTGACAATTAGAAGGGAGAAGATACGGGGATCACGGTGCGGCTGGAAACGCTGAAGGTTGGAAGCCCAAGTCCAGGACGTTTCGATCTTCGTTAGCTGGGAAGAACGAATCCATCAGGAGGGCGTCCCACGGGCCTACGCGACACCCGGGTAACTTTCTATCGTGGCACTTACGCGACACAACGTCGCGCCATAATTTCGCGCAATTTATTCGACGGGCAAGGGGACGTTCGTTGAATTGTTACTCGTGCACCGCCTAAGTGAGCGCAAAGTGGTAGCTCGTGTAGCCGGGGTCCGTAGGTGGCCGATACGAGACCTCGTTCGTGTCGTAAACCACCCGTTATTATTGTTCCGGCGTTTCCACCCTCGCGCGCCCCAGGAATTCCTTTGGAGACCTTTCAGACTATTTCTGGGGATCGATGATCCCTGAAGGTGTTGATAATTAAGCGGGGCGTGGCTCGAATCATCCCCACTTCCAACAACAGTTTCGTCATCGATGTAATTTACGATAGATCAGCCGTTTATTTTGAAAGCGAAGTCC